CTCCTCAATTGGAAGTCCCAAACCTATATATTTCCAACCTAGTTTCTGATGTTTTTCAATAAGTGGTGTTGTTGTTCTAAATTTAAAATAGCCTCGGATGAGATGCAACCAAACACTCTTCTCCCAACCATTACCCAACCAAAACCTTATTTTCTTTCCCTCTCCTACTTTCCACTCAAGCATTTTATCAAACCACCGTGTGTGATTTTGTCCCCCACTTACCACCCTCAGATCTTTCTACCAAATAAAAGCAAATTTTTATTGTCACATATCCCTCGTAAATGTTTTTGCACCCGCCATACATAGAGTCCAAGATCTTCCCCTAGCGACTTTCCTTTCAATGGAATATACACCACCTCCATTTTCCCAAGAGCAAAACATTAAAGATCTCATCATCTTTCACCCCCAAGCTCCCATGAGATTTTGGACAACAAATGTTTTCTCATCTTATTCACGAGATTTTCCTTCTACCCTTTTCTACCCCTCACAATAAATTTTGCTCCATGTCAACAATTTTCCTCACCATCGATTTTGGCATTTTGAAAAAGAAGATGAAGTATAATGTTACAACAGTTAGGATCGAGTTTATAATGCACACCCTACCAGCCATGCATAGAAATGGTTTTATTTTTCCACTTGGATAGTTTCTTCTTAAATTTAGCTAGGATAGGTTTCCATATCTCTTTCCTTCCTTGGATTATCACCAATCAGGATGCCTAGATAGTTGAAAGGTATTGACATTATCTTACAATTTAGCAAATTGGCAACCCTTTTTATAGAACCTTTGTCTCTAACCCAATAACCCCAAATTTGCTTTTGTGAAAGTTTACTTTTGAGCCAGATGCTAGCTCAAAACACCGGAGAACGGACTTAATGATGACCACATTGTCAAGACTAGCTTCTCCAAGAAACACCTTGTCATTGCATATTTGAGGAGGTTGACTTCTACCAACTTATTCCCCACCCATACCCTACATATAAGTGTTTTTCTACTACTTGTAAGAGTAACTTTGAGTAAAGTTACTTTACTCAATAACTCATGGTATCTATTTAATTTTAATTATCTAGCTGTTGAATTAAAATTTCTTAATGTATAAATCAAGTTTACAAATTAATTTTAAAAAATTTGAATTGATAAAACCAAATATCAAATAATTTTTAAGTTTTTATTTAAATTTATAGACTTGATTTATATCATAAGAACTTTTAATTTAACAGTTAGATCGTTTAAATTCAACATATATTATGAGTTATTGAATGTGATAACTCTGCCAAAAGATACTTTTAGAATCATTCGATCTTTCTTTACTGCCATGCCTCCCCCTCTCTTTATATATATATATATGAATCAATTATATTATTTTAACAAAATAAATTAACTTGGTATATATTTTCTTGTATATATTATACTATTGGTATTTAGTATCTATCATTGAAAATAATAACTAATAGCTCAGTAAAAAAAAATCATAAACATACACAATCTGGATATTCCCCCAACATACTTTATTTATTTCTGTTTGAACATCTTTATCTTTTTATGCGTGATTTTAAAAGTACATCCCAATTTTTTTTTTAAGAAAAAATAACGTTTTGTTTCTTTCGATTTGTGTTAAAACAATATTTTCCATGAAAACCTGTAGGAGCCAAATGATAAGGGTTTGGAATAGTTACGTAAGAACTTATTAATTAATAATTTTTATCTTCATCATCGTGGTTGTAATTTATTTTTATATTTTTTTTTACTGATACTTAAACTCAGAATTTAATATGATTTATAATATAAGGTTATAACATTGCCAATAGGATTATATAGCATGGGTAAAAAAAATTTATATAGTTAAAAATGATAGATAAAAAAATAACACCTCTAAAACCATGGATAGAGAATTAATGAGATGTTAAGATAACTCTAAAATTATCGGATAGAAATTTAATGAGATGTTAAGGATCTTCAAATCAAATATCATTATTTACTTAATAAATAGTCAAAATTCAGTAATATTTAATTTATATCATAACTTTTGACAAATTAAAATTCAGCATAGATTAAATCTTGGGGCCAGCTATCCCACTCTTTGAGGTGCCTCTAACGTAGCGAGGAGATTAGTCACTGCTATCGGCGGTGGATACTCCAAGGACGAACAAAAAAAAATTCAGCATAGATATTCATAAATAAAAAAAAAAATCATCTCTAATGTCACGAGTAATTTACGTAGGTTTAGGAAAGATTATGGCTTTTGATGAACTATAGTGACCGTGTTACTCGGCCTAAATACGAGATTAGTAAAGAGGTATATGAAATATGAAAGCTGGGAAAGTGGAGATAGCCAAAGTAAAGGACACACGATGAAGGCATTGAAGGGAACAGAAGTTGGGAAATGACTAAACTGATCACTTAATTAATTAACTTTTGTATGGATATACCCGTAATTATCCAACTGACACACTTAACTTTTATACCGCCGGCCCGTTCAATATATGTATTATAGCTTTAGACCACTTAAAAAAAATTCACCATAAAAAAAAATATATATATATATATATATATTTATTTATTTATTTAACATATAATTATACATAATTTTAAATAAGATTTAATAATATATTTTACATATCAAAGTAACATATATTTATATTTTTTAATAATATATTAAAAATAATTTTTAGTAATATATATTGTATAAGTGTAAAGTGTGTATCACTATATAACAATTTTTTTATTATGGACTTCGTGTACATAATTGACTACGGTTTAGAATTATTCACAAAACGACTTCATTAATTAGCTGTAATAATTAACATGTAATAAGTTTTACACTACGATAAATCCCTGCTGCATGTCTTTAATTAATTTTAGTTAAACAAAACAGGGAAA